CTGATAACCTGTCAGTTGTGAAATTAAAATTACTTTATTTTCAGAACGAATATGTCGTTCATTCTGCTAGCCTGAAATTGGAAAGGATTCACCCTGCACGCCTGTCCTGGCAACGCGGGAAGCTATTATAGACAGGTCATTTAAGCAACCACGTCACGACCTTAGTCACGAAACATGCCATTGAAAAGAGCTTTGTGGTCCATTATGGAGAAAAACAAGCAGTGAACGCGAAAGATCGAGCTCAGCGTTCCAGCAGATGAAGATTTCCATTGACTTTCTAGTTGGTAGCGCCTCAGTCCGCATATGATCAATAGCCCTAATTCGATCGATGTTCGAAACCCCCTACAGATTCCTTTACCTTCCTATGTTGCTGTTGTATATAGCCCTGCCAGCAGCAGTCCCGCCTCGCCCCGTCTAATCCCCACAAGAATAGAGGAGCTAGAGGGGGCTATAAATTTATGAGTTATTTATTGTAGTAACTAAAAAGAACTAAGTAAGTAAGCTAACAGCAACTAAGCAGTAACTAGAAGGAAATATGTTCAATGACAAAAAACGTCAGTGTCAGTATATGCATGAACATTGACGTATGTTATGCCATGGAAATGACGCAACACACTTAACAAATTCTTTGTATTAGACAAAGACATTTGCGCTTCGAGAGTGAATTCTTGCAAGGCCCGCGGCAAGGACTTGCCTTCAACTGTGTTTGTGCTCTCTATGTCTTCGACGGACTCTACACGCATTATTCGTTTACACACGTATAGTACCCACCGGCAGAAATCTCAGAGCTCAATATAGGCATTTCTCGTTCGGGAAATTAATTGCCAACTCCCGTCGACGTTGAGGGAACCTCAGAATCGAGCTCTTCATTTGCCTCATAGTATGCCCTTATCTTGCTCTTAGTGTGCTTCCATATGATGCTTCGGTGAAAACTGCATTAATTGCGCTTCATAATTGCTTTGGATATTCAGTAAAAAAAGACAAACAATTAGTATAAGTAGACTATGAACATGATGGCTACATTGCACATACATTGACATAAAAGTCGACTACTTAAACTGGCTGGTGAGTAAATACCCAAAAAATGCCAAACGTTACATAACTTAGCTGAGGAAATTATCACGAGCATGTAAACAGCATTGCTGAACGTACGATATCACCCGCAACCGATTGTGAAATATATGAAGTAGTAACACACACAACTTAGTTGACAAATAAGCGTTTGCGCAATGAGCGACTTAAATATAAACTCAATATATTGAGCTCATTCACGGCCACGTTCAGAGGGAGTAAACGGATATTTTTACTGACTTATAAGATATTGTTGATAAAATGGCTGCTTTTAATGCCAAAGAAGAAAGAATAGGAAATGCGTTTAAAACCTAATAAGCCGTATTAATACGCGTAAAAATGCTTCAATCCAGAGGGGACTCCGGTTCCACCCAGCCCCTTCCCAGCCCTACCTATGAAGGGACCATGTGCTGGCAGGGAGATCGTCGCAAACAGAATATTTTATTGGGTCGTGTATATCCGTTATGCTTCTTGAGTCAACTCTTGCAAACTTAAAGGAATATGTCGTTTAACTTTGTGCTAAATTCTTCATCGACGTTTACGCGTTTTCCCATTTGGTTAACTTTACTGGACCTCAAAATTCCACCTTTATCACCATTTTTCCCTTAAGTTAATGAACATCGACAAATCGCAATTTTATAATGTATTTAATAAATAATCTCTGAGAAACCGGGACATAAGACTTATAATCTGCAAAAGGACATGTAAGCAGAGTAAATCGAGAGCCGAATAATACAGCTGAAATGCGGTAGTGTTTATAATGCGACACTGATCGTCGCGGCTTCCGATAAAGCAATTTATTGGGACTGCAATCCCGTGCATTTGACCGAAGTAGCCTTACAGCAGAGACACTGAAGGCGGATGATTCAACGATACAATTATTCCATATGATCTCAGTCAAAATCAAATGCGCTGAACGACTTAGTCAGGTTATACGTTGACTTCTGCCGAGTGAGGAACGAATCTGTCCGGTACTCATATACATAGGTTGACATTGCACAACAATGTAACGAAGACGGCAACTACGTGATTGAAAGTACTTCCAATGTCGTGTTCATCTGCCCAGATCCCCGCAAAATAATGAGAAGCAGAATTGGAGATTATGCATTTGTTGACTATCATTTCTCTGCCAAAATTTGAACCAGATCAAAATGCTTGCTTTGTTAAGCGAGTCCAAGTATATTAGATAGACGTGTCTAGCATGACAGTAGTCTAGATCTCCTCGATCCTCAGTGTGTGGCTGAACATCTAAGAAGCGTCCGAATATCAGCGACCAATTTTTGGTTATATCATGTTTTGCAAAACTGAATTTAGTCGGAGATCGTGACTGGGTAGATAAAATGCAGGACCATGAATTTTCATACGCATTCGGTGTCATGGCGACTCTACCCTGTAAAAAGTGCTTATCCTCTTGTACGAACTTCTCGTATCTGCTTTTACCTCGAATTATGGGTTCGGGCAGGAATTAAAAGCTTCGGGCGAATAAAGTTCTTGCTTCAGCGGTGATGCCTCCACCTGCCTAGGCAGGATTTCCTCAGAAATCAGTATAGAATCTACGAAACAGTCTACACGGTTCACCATATAAATTGGTGGTTTTGACAGATTAAAATAATTCCTTAGCCTATTTGTTTGCATTTCTGCAGAATGAATGAAATTTGATGTAGGCTGTAACTGTTCACTAGATTGTATGTTTGCATATGGCTAAGACCGTAATGTTATTGAATATTGTCTGAAGTTTGTCGGATAAAAACGCGTGGGATTCAAGTATTACAATTGCACGATTAATTCGAATAAACCACAAATTCCGCCTATTTTCCGAAAAGGGTACAGTAAGGTCATGAGTGTGTAGGAGCAATTTCGCCTTGCCTAACGGATAAATTAGGCAGCGCTCTAGGAGCGTCGATAGGGATCAAAGCATTTGGATATCTAAAGTGTGACTCATGGCGTTCAGTTTAAAAATACCGCCGACACTATATACAATTAGTCTTTCATGTAGAATAAATGCATGACTATTTTTAAAAGAAATTTCATAAAAAATATATGGTTAGATATATAAGCGTAATTAAAACACGAAGGACGATGAACACACTGCGAGGGTATTGTTAGCATGAGAACGTTCTATCAAAAATTGCACAAATATGATTTTTTTAAAGAATAATGTCACGATCTAAATAGAGTCTGTGCGTAATTATCGGATACATTATGGATGGGAAGGAAACGAAATACATCAAGCATTTTAATACACAAATATTATTCTCTAAGACTTTGAAGACGGATACGTTTGTATTTTTTGTAATCCTGGAACCTGCAACGTCAGAAAAGTTCCTTCATGACATTTTGATGTAAGGAAAATGTTCCATTACCACCTATGCCTGCTAGCACTTACTCTATTTGGTTCTCAGTATAAAGGCTTAGTTAAAGATTATTCAGCATGCTGCAAAAACATATTCAAACCCTGACGTTGATTTTCAGACAAAACAAGTTAACGCCTTCTTCTTGGCAAAAAACTTATGATCGCATTCGTATATAAAGAGGGATTTTTCACTGCGACATATCGTCTAGTCCCAATGGCATTGCCTTATTTGACCGTGGTGTTGACCATTATCCTTTTTAACTTGGGTAGGCTACTATTATATTTGCATTGTACGAGTTATTCCTTGCTGTCATTTACATCTTGCGTGCCTTAATCCATGCTATGTTTTTGGAATGCAGCGAGATTTTGGCAGGAAAATTGCCAACACAATATTAATGGATTTCTGAAGTGCAGTTTTAATAGCTTAAAGTCGAATCTATCGTTGTGTCGCCGCTTATAAAATTTCGCATATTTCAATGAGTTAGATTTCCCAAAATTATTCTCAAGAGCATGATTACGAATTGCCCTCAAACAGTTACATTTCTCCCCTCAATTAGTGTTTTATTAGTTTTATATTATTTATTTATTGAATAATTATAATCTAAGATGCCGACCTTTGCTCAGATTCTGCCTTCGAGTCGGCTATACGTTTGTTCAGTCATCTACAGATTTAGCACTTCACGAAGGTTGTACCTACGTTATCTGACGTAAAGGCAAAACTTAAAGTCAAAGTAAAAAACTAGAATTATTTGTTAAAAACAACAACTGATTTTTCTCAGAAAAACGCAAATTGTAATGGCTTGTTTTGGTACACTTTAAAAACTATTACGAAACACCCTATCAAAATTATCGGTTTTAAATTACGAAAGAACATTATAATATAATGCTTAGATAGGTCAGTGGTCCAAACATATATTTGCTTTGAAGAAATGCCACGTTCCCTACCAAGAAACCCCTTGATTAGATGCTTTGTAGAAATAAGTTGGACAGTTATATGGGATGGCACGTTGTTTCACTTTGTAGTATTTTTCGCCGTCTTAGTAGTTCCTTCATTTAGATCGACAAATATAGCCATTCACATAGGCACATTTCTTTATTTAGTCTAAGAATAACCATGATATATACACTAACAGAAATGTCACACAAAATATTTACCCTCATTCCTATGAGTTCTACATAAGTAGCCAGATGCAGCTACCCCTGCTTATAAACCTATCGCATTATTCGTTAATGTTGCGTGAAATGTAGGTGTTTGCTATAACCAGCATATTCAGGCTCATCTCTGAATCCCTAATTACTCTTTTGTCAAAAATGTAAAGGTTCTTCTCGACAGCAGCCACACACCAGCGTCTGTGAAAAGAAGTACTCGGGTTGTGTCGGCTTCCTCAATAGGCAGGACAACTTTTCATCCTATCGTCAATGCTTGAAGGCCTGCGATTTCAAAAACGGTTGGTTTCTTTTCTGGAAACAATTTTAGACCTCTTATTATTTGGCAAAATCTAAGCAGTATTTTCCGTTGTTTAGTGCCTACGGCGAAGTCGCGTAGAGCGTACTCCTGCATCGATTACTCTAAACCATGTTCCCCGTTGAAATTTTATCAAATCCGCTCATCTACCGATGCCTTCTTCGAATGGACCAAATGCCTGGAAGTATGTCACGCACTCTACAACGGTAAGGTTAATTCGCATTTTAAAACAGCTTCAAAACTCAGTATAATTGTGCGTCGATGCCATTACCTACTTCTGCATAAGTAGTGAGAGATATCTGACTTCATCAATTATAACACTAATCGAAAGTAACGTGGAAAGGTTTATTTGCAAGGAAACGCTATGTTACCCCATAGGGCACATACATGGCTCCTGTTGTCGTTGCAGAATTAATTCAGATAATCCTGTGCTGCTCTATGCCTATGATATTACTGATTTGTTTAACCTTTCCGTCCTAGACGATGGGAAAGTAACGGCTTCGGGGGAGATCTGCATTCAACCGAAGAAAAATTGCTTCCGTTTTGCAAACAGTGAAGGGACCGTTGACAAATTCATGAAATGCTATGTGGACTGCCAAGTAACTAGAAAAGGTGAAGTATTTGTTTAGCCATTAGCTGAATGAATATTGTTTCCTCATGCCTAATGAAAGCACACTTTGTTTCAATCAGAAACCCAGACATACGTGAAGGACATGTACATGTGCACTCCCAACCAACAAGAATGCGTTAATTCCATATTCTTTACCTTACCGGGAGAAAAGGAACCGAAACAGGTACTAACGAAGTGCTACCAGAACTGTGGAATTGGTGAAGGTACGGTTGAAACAAATTTTATCTATGTTTATACTGATTTTTACTTTCGCAAACTTGCTTTATTGTACATCCCATAATTAAATATTGTTCGAGCAGCTTTTGAATATTCACAAGACCTGAAGCGCGTTTGGACAAAACTGTGCGCGAATAGTATCCTTGAAACATGACAAAAATTAGAAATTCCTTGCATAATATGATCTAGAGATGACAGGGTTTAATCATCGAATACTGCACACAACACGGAAAAGGAGCTAAAATCCTAAACTGTCACAGACGTTACAATTTAATGGATATACCATCAAAGAAACTGGACTAACTGTAGCCCAAAACAAGTATAGCGCCTGTATGAAGTGATAAACTGAAGAGAGTCAACCCGAAAAAACGTCGGACAAATGGCTATTAAGATTATATTTTTTATTTTGTCTACAGGTAAGAAAGAATGAATCGCGAGGAAAAAAGGGAAAAACGTCAAAACCCAGGGGGTATATGAAAGACTTTCACAGAAAATCACTGATATATAACAATAAAAAGAAGAACAACTGCACAAAAAGGACGTAAATGCATAAATGAGAGGAAATGCGAAATGCGCCCTAGTATATATTGCATAACTTATCGATTACGACCGAATATAGCGATCAAACTAAAATGAATCATGATGCAGAGCAAAATAAATGCGTAGTAGGTAAATTGTCGAAATAAGTGCTTTTAGGAATAGAAGCCCGAAGGCTTCACTTCCTTTGCCATCGAAAAGGCTGATGACTGCAGTCTGCATGAGGATGTCTGTGTCAAGCCAATGCAAACTTACCTCGCAGCAGGCCCTCTGATGCCGCGGCGTCTGATGGGGCGGTGGCGGCGTCCACAGCGGCCGATAGACTTGATTTTGCGTAACATACTTCATTCACGAATTCTTTGCCTTTATCCACTCAAACCACATCATCTCCTCCATTTGCAACCACTCCTACAGCACCAGCTCCCGAACCAGAAACAGGCGGCTTCAAATGTGGCGAAGATTCCCAGACCTGTGTATCCTGCACTGACGATGATGACGAATGTTCGGACTTATCCACTTGCCAGGAGTCCTGCGGCAAAGAAGGTAACTTCTCCTCTTCCGCCGCCCCCTCCTCCCGACTTACTGCTAACTATGACCACATGCACCGGCAGAATCAATAGGCTACAATTGCTCCCTGGAGTTAGCCGTAGATCAAGGCTGAAATATGATTGTGGCTGCAGGCATGATTTTTTGAATGCCTGTACATTGTGTGACATGTATTGATTTTAGTTTCGTCAAGCATGGGTCACCATCTACACATATCATCCCGCCATGAATATTTGGCATAATGAACTAAAAGGGTCATTTCCACAAATGCTGCATGCATTACCTCGCCTCGCATGCGTGCGCGATCCTGTCAAAGCGAAGCCTCATTCATAAGCAGGAATAGGTGGTGAATGCAATTCATGCAATAGCAGGAATAATAGTAGGCTAGCGCATCATGGAGGAAAGGTGGCCTTTGTGCAATAGGATGGGCAAAGCTGCAGTGCAGCGGCGTAACATGAAATAACCCCGGTGACATACTACCTCAAGGTGGTTTCTCCTGCGATCTACATAGCAGCCTATCGCATCCTGCGAGCGAAGTTAGGACATCGGCTGGTTGAATCATCCTTAGGTGCCATAGAACTGAAGTATTCTTTGCAGCTATGGTGCCTTAGCACGGCTGACATGCGTACCACGATTGTGTTTGTACATGGCAAGACAAATCCCCTCGGGGCACAAAATGAACCAGCAGACAATTGGTTGATTGCTTATGGAAAATGCGGATGATGCGTCAGGAGAGGACCGCAGATTTCCTCCCATGCATACTCTAATGCAGGCATGAAGGCCGCAAATGTCCTTCGGTATTTGCACAACACTGCATATAATCGGCATGACCTGCTTGCAGAGCTTGGAGCATCTTCTCGTACCGAGACGTGCGCTGTATCTGTGCATGCCTTTGTGCCTCCATCAAGCAAGAGGGAATTACTGCTTGTGCACAGATACACATAGGTAGGTAGACTTCAGCAGAGGGCATGCAAACAACCTGATGTCCTTCTTTCTTTTACTCATCATCATCATCATCATCATCATCATCATCATCCTCATCATTAGGAACGCAGTGCGGTTAGAAGACGGAGGGGAGTTTACGTGCAGGAATATGCTGCGAATAGGAGGACAGAGGAGAAGATGTGTCTTACTCGAATCTCACCCTCAGCGAGACTGAGGTGCACGTGGTGCTGATGAGAATGCAGTCCGTGTTGTGGCAGCGCACAATGAATGCACCACATCTTTGCCTTTCTAGCCGATGCTGCGCCTGCAGAGGCTGAAGGAGGCAAGTGCGGAGGCTGCCGATAGACTTGATTTCACTTGACGTGCTTCAGTCAGGAATTCTTTGCCTTTGTCCACTCAAACCTCATCATGTCTTCCATTTGCAACCACACCTACATCACCAGCTCCCGAACCAGGAACAGGCGGCTTCAAATGCGACGAAGCGTACAATATGTGCGTACCCTGCACCGACGAGGAAGACGAATGTTCGGACTTGTCCACTTGCGAAGAGACCTGCGGCAACGAAGGTAAGTTCTCCCCCTCATCCTCTTCCTCCTCATCATCCTCCCTACTCCCTGCTTACTAACACTACCTGCGGAGTGGGTCACAACTGCTCCCTGCATTTAGTCTATGACCAAGTTTTAATTGTTATTTTTTCTTCTTTTTCCCTTTATATTTATTGTCGTTTTCCTCATTCGTCATTCGTCTTTCAGCTTCTTTGCCCGTCATTGCATCTTTGTTTTGCATCTTCTTACTTCTCATCTTCTTAATCGCCCTACCGCTCTCTTTTATTTTATGTTCTTGTCCTCTTCTTTTTTTTCATTTTTCTTCACTATTATGCTCTCTTTTCACTCTTTGGTCTACTCGTATTATTCTTCGTTGATCCCGATCCTCAAGTCGGACTCTCGGTGCTTTGTTTTATATTGTCGCAGCCTGTTGTCACTATACAGCTTGTTGTGTAGCTGTGAAATACTCGACGTCACGTATTACAGTTTGAGTGGTCTAATTGAATGTGCATGTCTACAGTGTCATTTAAAATGCCCAGGCGGCGCATTTCGCTAAACGGTTTCGTCTAACATTTACATGCATACTTAATTCTCCATCCAATCCAATTCATGACATGGGCCGTTTGAATGCGCTTTGGCCACCATAAAGGCGAAACAATATTTTAACCAAAAAGCGTTGATCTAGCGACAGCTTTTAGGCAATCCTTTCTTCGCATAGCAGTGGAAAGCTTCATTTATCGTTCGATTTTTTTAGGCTAGTGCCTCTTCTCCTTTACCTTTATTATTTTCTTCCTCTTCTGATTATGTCTTCTATTTATTTGTATTTAACTGATTCCTCGATTTTTTCTCCTTCTCTTCCTTTGCGATTTCAATTATGCCACATTTGTTCTTCCTTTCATGCCAGCCCTATGTTTGATCCTACTATAACGTCAGTATCATGCTTTAATGATGAATAATTGCTTATTCTGTTTCTTGTAGCTTAATCCGTACACAACGACGAACAATGATGTCAGCGGTTTGTGGGTGCTTTTAGTCATGGTTTTGGGTGTTATGTGTCGAAAATTGTATGTTTCCACGGGACTTCACTGGTGACTGCCTAAATAAAACAACAAGTCAAAAGAGGAGTGTTCGCACTATTCATAAGATCGGACGGGTGAATTGCAAATAGAGACGAAGAAAGTATTCGCTTTAATTAAAATGACTACTGATGTTTCTGAATTACAGGCTAGGGCTATGATTCAATTGAAGGGTTCATCCGAGATGCCCCCGTATTCGCAGGGGCTTTTATGCATACCTCTCAAGCGAGTAGCCACCGAATACAAAAATAACTTATGTAACTTAACCCGTGAAAATACTACAAAATGACTGATTGCGAGTCGGGATGTTACGTTTAACATTAGAATAATGAGAGAGGAAAGGAAGTCTAAGATGACAAGGATGAAATCATGTGCAGACCCACGGAAAGTAGGTTCGTCACCCGTATAAATTCGTTGCTAAAACCCTAGAGTCCACATATTAATTTAAGGATGTCCCGTGTTAGTTACATTGACAAACCCAATCCTGTAAGATCTTGAGGCACATCAAAAATAGTTCCTGTGCATCAAAGTAATAAGTAAGTCATCAAAACAAGTGATAACAGGATCAGAACAGATGTCGGTGTACGATGTCTGTTTTGTGAAAGTGTTTAACAGATTCTATTTTCTCTTGCTAACCACGGCGCCAAAGAATAGATAGAAGAGAATAAAATTCCGGGACAGGTCAGCCGACCAAAGATGGGTTTCATTATCGATAATTTGAAGAGTATTGATGATATATACGATGGATCACATCGTTTTATGGATAATCAGAGTGCATTTCTCTGAATTATTATGATATACTGGGGCCCATAATGACACCTAACACTTTCATCTTGTGACCGTCAAAGGTCTAGCATTTTTGATTCATATTAGCTGAAAGTCGTCCAAATGATTTAGAAAGACCGGGCTCAATGAGAGACAAAATCTGAGACTATTTCTATGAACTGGAAACGAGTACGCTTTGGATGGTGATATAAATCTTCTATACAAGACTTGGAGAAATGTTTCAGTTGTGCCAACATCCAAATCGCTATCCGCAACATCTGCTGTTACTGGCTTTTAACCATGATAGACATATATTCTATGCCTGATTATTCTTAAATTCCAGAATGATAGGAATGCTTCATATCAGGTATGGCTTTCGTCAAGCTGGCTATAGTATCCCCAGATGACATGAAAATATTCAGTGAACTGAATAGGTCAAGTCAGGAAGTTTTTGTCGCACATTGACAAACTGAATGTTTGCTTCAGCAGACGATTTTAACAATCCTTTATGTCCACACCTAGAATCTACCCAAAAATATCTTAAAAACACCAGCACTATATTAATGGGGCTACAGCAGAAGCAAAGGAAAGCACAAATATATTACTATATGGACGACCAAAAATTTAATGCCACCAAGTCATCGTAAGAAGATGGTTCAGATGGCGATTAGTATGCTCCATAGGATTAGACAAGAATTAAGAATATTTTCTTTCGAACTCTTCAGAAAAATTTCTGCGTTTTCAAGAAACCTCATCTGGAACATTGGATGCCAGCAGCTATAGCATGGATGAGGAACTATATTGATCTCCTCTGACGGGTGGAACTTAGGTGCAACTAAGACGGTAGACGGTCTTAAGTATCTGTTTTATCAGAATAGGTTGAATGTGCTTATTTTATTCCCACCATCCCACACGCAATTAAGCTTTAGCCTGGTCCGGACATTGCGGATTATACGTGGTCACAGTTTCTCGCAGAGGCTGGAGAACGCCTTTGAGTTTGCTTGCTAAAATCACCCACACGGCCATCCATAAAAAGTTTTAAGCGAACGAACGTGACTAGATACCGAAAAGTCTTTCTTCAACTGATGGCTTGTCCGACCGCGTAGCAGGATACGATGCTTAGTGATGACGGCGGAAACCAAGTTTGTTTAAAAGAAAATCAGACCAGCCAACTGTCTACAGAGATCGTCTTTCACAACACGACTAGCCACAATCAGCTGTGTAAATCACCTTGTGCTCTACAATCGTTCCATACTGAGACATTTATTATTTTTAATCGTTTTGTATTGTGAAGCGACCAAATTCTGCATGTTTCCAGTTTGAATCCAAGGGTTCTGTCTGCAACTCTCCAAATTGCATTCACACACAATACATACCTGCTGTTGAGGCACGACCAAATAAAAACGAAATTAACGGTCCCTATTGTGCACACAGAAATGCACCATAAACCTAAAAACGGAGCTGAAATTTAGACAACTGCCATTTCATTCAATGGTTAAGTGAGAGTTTCGCGACGCATAACTCGTCTGCGACTTTAACATTTTCATCAGATTCGTTCAAGTGTGCTTCCTAACAAGCCCTTTCAAAATGTCTCAATAGTGAAAGCTCTACTTCTAAATATTGCTTGCCCTTATTTCTAATCATTTTCGATTATGTGCGTGGAAACGTACTCTATGCATACGCTATCTGTGAGAAAGAAAGCATATGTTCCAGTGCAATGTCTCATAAGTGCAATAGTATACGCCAAGTTTAACAATGATCAGAGTCAGGTAAACTTTTTAATAATAATATTAGATTTTAGTGTCAGTTCAAAGGTATTTTCATAGAAGCGTTTAATCCGGTCGGTAGTGAAAAATCGCCTGTCAAAAAGGATTAAAAATAAAATTGATGGTGATTTTTGATAGTTTGGTGGGTGCAGGCGCAAAAAAATCTGAGCACTACAAAACGCCGGCATCAACGAAGGGGTGGGGGTGGTTGGCGTGTATCGGATATCATCTGTGGAGGAGAATATGCGGCTATTCAAACAGATTCATCACTCACTGCATACGCATGCACCCACGACGGATAAACGGAAGAGAGACCTTAACAATTTGGTCCGCTCTACCGTGCATAAAGAATATGTCCGAGGCTACAGAATGCACGATGTCACGATTCGCCGGTTTATACCTGTATAGAACTTTTAGATCATCAGCATACATGAAGGGCTTACCATTCTGAAATAAGTTTGGTACATTGTTAACAAGTTCAGGCCAAATAAACCAAGTAACATATGTTTGTGTTAAGCAGTTGGCCGATCTCTTCATTCGCACCAATCTCAAGTTATACGTTAGAATTTAGAAATTATGGTTTATTTATTATCGACACCAGCCCTACTCTCCAAGCCCATTTATAATGAAGTAAACGTGGTAAGAGTGGTTGTGCCGTTGCGGCCTGTACTAGGCAACTAAGATGTGCTGTAAATCATAAAGTAAATTAAAAGATTATATATGCATCGGATGTTTCTTTTAATTTATTGAGTAGGTGTACAATTGATCACGCGCAGTGTAAAAGGTAATCAGTGGGAAAGTGGGTAATATCCTAAAATTTGCTGAATGTCCATATGATGTGAAATGAGCACGTAACCAATCCGGTAAAGCAACGGTCAATACATCTTCATGAAAGCAGTCCAGGAACTTTAATAGTGGAGAACTGCAACCACTACCTGAAGGAAATATCACATAATTTATGTATAGTGTTTCAGCAGCCAACCCAAAAGACCTGCTGAGTAAATATCTATGTAGGTATTCGTGGCACGCATTGGCCTTCGTCGATTTATGAACATATTTCCTCAGGCAGACGACAGTCATTACGAGTCATCCTGTGTCCAGGGGAGGGTTAACGTCATAGTTGTAGTAGATCGCTCATTTGCTTGCAGGTACAGACTACGCCTAGTGTCTCTTTGCTGTTACCCAACACTCACATGTGCCTCCCCGAAGTCAAGCTCTGTCTAGCTGCCACACCCCCGGTAACCGCCTCGACCGGCGGGCTGAACCAGGTGTGGGCATGCGCGTGTGCATCTGCGCACACGGTATTGGGGACTTCGCTGGACGGCTGGCCGGGTGAAACTTCGCATCGGCCTCGTAAAGTCAAGGCTCCGTCTGGTGCACCGCTGCAGGCCACAAGCCTACGGAGATGTCGTAAGCTCTTCAGGCTAACTCAGGTCATTCTTCCACTTCACCAAAGCCGTGGCCCATAGTGGAGTTCTGCGCAGCCTCACACTACTGAACAACGGAACAACAGCGACACCCTCTCTCTATCTTTCTGCTTCTTCTTCTTCTTCCTCCTCTCCTAAACGTCGCCGCCCCATTCAGTATGCTGGTAAGACGATTTCACCCTCTTTGGCGGCCTGGAATGTTCGTCCCCTTTTAGATAATTCGAAGCGCAACCGATCGGAACGGAGAACGGAGCTAATGGCTGGGGGACTGGCGCGCTACTAGGTAGATATCACAGCACTCAGTGAGGCCTGGTTCTCCGAAAATGGCCAGGATAAATATTGCCTTGTTGTCTTAACCTGCTCATTATGTACATTTCAGCAACGAGCTCGCTCAACGGCTAGACAAACTTCCAATCGCTGACGCCGCTACCGCGCCGCTGACGAGAAGTAAGCCGCCAGGCCTGCGACAACTACCGACATCTCTCCTTGCTGAACATTGTCGGAGAAATCTTCGCTCGCATCCTCCTCAACCGCCTGAACAAGCACCTTCAACAAAGTCTTCTGCATGAAAGACAGTGCGGCTTCCGCTGTCATCGTGGGACCACGAATATGATTTTTACCCCTCGCCAACTTCAGGAGAAGTGCCAGGAAATGTGGACCAACTTTTACGCCACCTTCGAGTGAGGTCCGTGAGCGCGATCGGTGAGCGTCCACTATCATTGTATATTCCCAATCAAAAACGGACACGGTGACGGGCTCGTGGCTCAGTGGTTAGATGCGTGTACTTCTAACAAACAGGCCGCGAGTTCGAGCCTCGAGTGTGCCACACTTCGGTGTTGGGTATGACTGGCTGACAACGGCGAATAAGCCAGAAAAGGCCATTCCAGTCTACCTTGTTTTCTGTCGGTAATATCAGTCTGCCTACAGTTCGGAATAGTCTCGGCTTTACGCTCAACCCCGAAATGAAGACGTATAAGTCCGGCATCTTCCCAAACATCTCAAACCATTCTTCAATGGAAAAGTCCCCATGGGTTCCTGCCGCCGACGAGGCCAAATCTGTCGATACCAGGACACTATAAAGACCGCTCTGAAGCGTCTGCATATCAACCCGGCCAACTAGGAAGACCTCGATTTTGGCCGACCGACCTCGAGGAGTACAGTGAAGACAGGCACTGCTATTTACAAAGCCAACTGCATTGCCATCGCAAAAGCCAAACGCGAAGCACTCATATCCGCGCATTTCGAATTTGGTTTGAAATTTTCGATCTCTTGCGGCTTTGCTTATTCCGAGATTCCTGCTTACTGGGCCCTCTGAGGGTCCGTTTGTATTAATAAATTGGATCGTAACCAACACGGTCCACGCGGAACTTCGATAGGACTTCCTCTAGGACTACCATTCTCTTTCGGACCACTTCTCCGTCAACAGCACCCGGGAACCCTCCATTACAAGAACGGTGTATTACTTGCTCCATATCGTTCGCTACTTGATTCATATCGTCGGTCTGGTTAAATAGCACCTCCTACACCCTTAAAGACATCTCCATTTTACATTCTTGAATATGATAGTCGAACAAGTGCCTTCGGGATGTTGCGCGATAAGTGCGTCCCATGCGGGATTCGAACCCAGTCAAGGGGGTGACGAGGACGCCGTCGTTACTAATGGACCAGAGACGCGCAGCAGGCGAATCGAAAATAATAATGTAATAACAATGCACATTGTATAAATGAATGTATTGTCGGCTTCCCCACTATCAAATTTCCTGACAAACGGGTCAGCAGTTTAGTAACTACAACTACAACAACGAACATAAAACACATGCGGCATGTTTTTAAACTCTACAGAAAGAATTAGAGATGGAGAATGAGATAAAAGACCTAACAATAGAGATAGAGAAGTTGACGAAACTTCTCGCCATTCACCCAGAAAAGAGCAAGTCGACGACGTCAGACCCTCAAAAAACAAAGAGAACATATTCAAACCCAGTTTCATTAACTAGATCAGCCGCCAAGGAAGAAACTAGCCCGTCGAAAAAGGAAATAACAACTGATAACCGACCTCTTCTGCAAGAAACGAACAACCGAGAGGGATCTCAGGAAACGCAGAAGCGCCCCAGGACATCCCGAAAAGAAAAAGCAGGTCAGATTGACCGTATGAGAGAACAGATTCTACGGAAAATGCCAGCAAATACCACACTGCCGAAGGATGTATCGCACGACCAAAAAGACTCTGTGGGTAAGGAACCCTGTGACAGCTATGTCATGGCAGCTGCCTCTGTATCAAACGGTAATGACAACGGGAATCGGCGAAATTCTGACCGTGCGTGTAAAAACAAATGCAGGGTCTCTCTACAAAACAAGCATCACCACCGCAAACGAGACATCCTCATAAAGGGAGCACCTAAGTCCAATTCTTCGATTGCAAAAGGTAGAATCGAAAACAATCTCAACCTCTTTCAAACATATTCAAATGCCGTCCTTCAGGACGAAGAATGTGCCACCGTGCACAAAGCTTTCCGTCTAGGAAACGCAGGAGCGTCGCGTGGATTACCAAGGCCTCTTAAAAGCATTCTTGCAAATGAAGCCCCCGTTTCTCATCTCCTAGAATGGAGAGGGGCTCTTCGTCATTCGCATAAGCAGGTATTTTTTCAGCCGGATGAGGGAGAGCCGGAGAGAACTGAAAAGTAGGACAAAATATGGGGAGAATGGGTTGAAAATAAAGGTAGGCAATATAATACAGATCAAGCGATTGCTCCTGTGGCTAACCCCCTTTGTATTCAGGGCCGATGTCCTCCGAGCAAACGGAAACTAAATGTGTTGAATTCGAATTTGCTGAGCCTGTTTATAGAGGGGGTTGCACTCAGGACTCTGATCGACGAGCACAAGCCAGATAGAAACATGGCTTTCTGTAGCTATTAGAGAACATGAGGTATCCCTCAGTGGCTACAAACTGTTAAGAAGAGACATGAAATGTCGAGGACGAGGGGTTGCTATCTATGTTAGCTAGAACCTGACCGTTGTCCCTGAGCAAAATCGAACAACAACAGCGGAACAGGAATTCATATCTTTTACTATCTCCACTAAATGCTCCAGGCTACTGGCGTTTGTAGTTGTATATCTCCCCCAAACCAGATTTCCGAACACGATAGCCTTCTCCTTAGTAACTGAACAAAACTTGCTCGAACAGAGACGTCCTTATTGTCGGAGACTTTAATGCCCCTAATATCGACTGGCAAGCTTGGACGGTTTCGGGTTCATCGAACACATCCCGACAACATTTGCTTGAATCGTCAGCATAAAGACTAATTTTCCAGCATACAGCTTTCGGAAGTCGTGTTAGGGAAGGGTAACGTTCAAATCGCCTGGACCTGGTGCTCATTTAAGATGATAAGACTGTGCTGGATATGCAAGATCTCCCGCCAATTTGTGCTAGTGATCATATTGTGATGCTCTTCGAGTATTCCATGTTCTCTTAACCTAATTCACCGGATCAATTAAAAACAAATATCTGGAAGGGGGATTTTTCCAGAATGCGAACATATGTCTCAGCAATAACGTGGACAGCCACATTGCAGGGAACTGTTAACGACTACTTGAGCACGTTCAGCTCACTGGTCAAAATAATCGTTAATCAAAAACTGTCCACTCTGACGATCGAAAACAATCAACCGTCCGCCGTGGATAAGCCGGGAACTGCAAACCGCGTTTAAGAGGAGAAATACAGTATGGTGACGCTATCGACAAACTGAGAGTCCTGAACACCTGAAGGAATCTAAGCGACAGCGGAATGTGTGTAATCGCGAGGCTAAGATGCTTCGAGTCAACTATGAGCTGCGCATATTACAAAATTCCTTGGAGCATCCTAAAATCTTCTTTGGTTTCTTACGTAATGACCAGAGCAATCGCGACCCGATTCCAACGCTAAGATCCCAAAACGGAGTAATTGAGACAGATGACCACCTGAAAGCATCCGCCTTCCCCAATTTCTTCCAGTTGGTATTCACTAATGACACAAATCCTCCGCCTATGCTTTATGTTGACCAACGACAAAGTCCTTCCTGTCCTGATTTGGAAGACAATCTTTTCTTCTCACCCATGTTGATAAGGACCGAACTACGCCGACTGAAGCCTGCCAAATCACCTGGTCCAGATAGAATTCATGCACTTGTCCTCAGATAATTAGCTTAAGTACTGTGTGAGCCGGTTTCCATGAAATTCCAGAAGTCCGTGTAAGAATGCGAACTGCCGCAGGAATCCAAAACTGGCCATATTTCTCCAGTCTATAAAGGAGGATCCAGGCTGGAGCCCGAAAATTACTCTCCTATTAGTTTAACCTGCATTCTGGAGCAGAGGGACCTGTTTAGTTCTGCTCAGCACGGATTTCGTCGTGGTCACTCCTGTCTTACAAGAAGTCTTAACTTGCAGAAAAAATGGTCAAGAGCCATTGACCAGGGTATTCTAGTGGACGTCATCTTCTTTGACTTTAAGAAGGGTTTTAATAGCGTTCCTCAAGGGCGACTCCTACAGAAGATTTGGGAGTGTGGAATACAGGGCCACATTTTTAAGTGGATTGAAAGTTTCCTGTCATGTAGGTTCCAAAAAATGACCGTTGGTACCACTTCATCCAATTGGGTGCCAGTAAAAAGCGGTGTTCCACAGTGCTCAGTCCTCTTCTTTATCTATATAAATTACTGTCCTGCAGACCTCGAATGCGATGAGATCATAGTTGCAGATGATATAATGATCTGAAAAACCATCAGCTGCGTTTACGACGCGCAAAATCAACAGGAAGATGTTTATAAACGATCTGCATGGTCCAGCAAGTGGCTCCTGGCGTCTAACGTATTCAAATGTGTAGTCTTGCAAGTAGAATCTGATCGGAGGCGATTCCAAAGCACCAGTACACTATAAATGGGGTTTGACTAATTAAATCGGACACGCACAAAGACCTTGGTGTCTGGACATGCTCAAACTTGCTGCCCTCTCAGCATTGCAAAAGAGTCGTCCAAGTGGCAACCAGCATCATGCACTGGATTAGGCGTGCCTTCAAAATCTTTCCTCCAGATATTCGGCACGTTCGTCAGACCGCATTTGGAATACGGAATGCCGTCATGAACGCCCTGGATGAAGAAAGACAGTGGAGACACATAACATGTGCAACGACGGGCCACAAAACTGGTAGACGGTCTCAGAACTCTGTCATACCCAGAAAGACTGATCCAGTTTCATTTGTTTCCCCTATCCTATAGACGAATGAAGTCTGACCTGTTATAGGCATTCCGCATTATCCGCGGGCATAAATGTTCGTTCAAAACTAAGGACTTCTTTGAATTCACTACCATGAGTCACATGTGCGCTCATCAATACAAAGTCAAGCGGGAGCGCACACGCCTAGACCATCGGAAGTTTTCCTTCAACCAGCATGTTGTTCAACCGTGGAACTGAATCTCAAGTAAATTATTGACAACTGTTACAATGGTTGTATTCAAAAGGCAACTGGATCGTTTGATCTTTGACAGACGACGACTCTCACTAGAGGACTAACTTCGGACAACCACAAATTTATTTTTTGATCTCATACCTATGTAACACATTCCTGACTTTTAATGAAATGTTTTCTCACAAAATATACAAATGACTGCACTTTATGCTGATTGTATATAACTGCACTTAAAATTTCATATGTACATTGAAGAGACCTCCTGCCGAACTCTTCGCTCTTCCGCACTACAAAAATGTTTTCAGTAAACAAATATGTTACTAACAACTATTAAGTAAGGTGTACATTTAATATTTATATTGTGTGTACCGTTATCGATATGGTCATCATGGGCATTATCTATTACCCTAAAATACACTATTATAAAAAGTCTTAGCTGCACCCACTTCTCAAAGCCAACACCGGACCGTCCCCAACGTGTCCACGGTGTCAGCTGACATTCCGGACGCAAACTGGAGTTGTTGGACATTTTCGAACCAAACGCAGCACCGTCATCTCTTCGTCTCGCCTTGTCCTCGCCTTCCACGCAGACGACTAACTCTGACCGTCCTCCTGAACCATCACTGCCATCCTCATCCTCCTTCTCAAATGCCTCAACGCCCGCCGTTATGGCGTCTGCCTCCCACCTCAACATGACACACAGTCCTGACACAACAAAAAACACCAACATCCCCACCGACGACACCAATGGTGGGGACCAAGTCTATGCCTGTCCTTAATGCGACTGCACCTTCACCTCACACATCGGCCTGGTCGGTCGCTTTCAAGCCCCTCTCTCGGACACCGGCGAACCAGTGCCTGAAACACTAGCATACACCCGCCGCAGCTACCTTCACTGTCCGCACTGCCTTCGCACATTCATGCGCTGCCTATTCGGTCAAATGCGTATTCACGAGGGCGGAAATGACCGCGATCTTGACACTTCCAGCACACCCGTCATAGCCTCGCCCCTGCTTCACTCTGTCCCCCAGTGCGCCCACCGTCACTAACTCCATTACATCCAATGCGCACTGCACACCCACCACGCTCAGCCCAACTCAAACTCTGTCGCTCAGTGTCCACCACCACCGCCATCGCGTATGTGTCACTGACACCACAGACTCCTCGTGTCCACACTGTCCCCGAACACTCACCTCACGCATCGGCCTGTGTGGTCACTTGCAAATCCTTCGCTCAGAAACTGGCGAACCAGTGTCTAAAGCAACAACATACACCCACCGCATCCTCCTCCACTGTGCACACTGCCCTAGCATATCCATGCACCGTATGGACCTATTCAGCCAAATGCATGTCCACGAGAACCTGCGGTAGACGACCGCCGGCTACATCCCACCACCACGTTCTCCCTCATCATAATCTCCTCGCACATCAGCATCACCCAACACAAGCATCCAATTGTCACCTTTTGCGCAAACAGGGCGTACGCGCCTCGACTCGGTGCCTGTGCGACTCCTGCTGCATGCGTGACTCCAGACTATCACTGCGCGTCAAGGGCCTGGCTGGAAGGCTGCTGACTGACGTCCCAACTCAGTCCACGCCGTCCGTCCAGTTGTGTGTATGAATTTGTAGGGATTGGCGGCCAGGTGGGTGGTGGCCTGCGAACCAGGCTAAAACAGCTCCTTTCACGGCACTCTCACGCCGCTCAAGCTCCGCTCTGTGAAATCCAGGTGCATGTGTTTATCGGGCCAGGTCGTACATGTGGCGTGCGCAGACAAGGTCACTAGACCATGTCAGTCACCGCCCTCCACCCATTCCCTGCACCAGTGCACTGACTGGCTTGGCTGGGGCCTGGGAATGGGAGTCGACGCCTCTGCTCATCTGCCTCACTATAAACAATCTAACGCGCTTTAGGCTATCCGGTGCGCTAAAAGCTGTAGCCTGGATGGTTGCCCACTGACGGGATAATTTAGACGTCTCAGTCGGACGAGTATTGTGTGTTTGTGTGGGGCGGCCGGCTAGTGCTCAGAGAGTCAGGCTTCAATGGTTTCTTCTTAATATGGTCTTTGCGGCACTCCCACTCCGTGGGATCCGAGATCCAATATGCCATCCCACGTCTCCGGTCTTCTTGACTCCGTCTTGACATCGGGTCCAGGTGGGGAGGAAGTAACGCGTGCGGTAGATGCTGCTTGAGTCCGCATTCACTATAAACTAAAGCACGGGGAAGTCATCATCCCTGCTCTCACCTTGCAGGGGGGCACACGGTGGACATTGTCGAACTCCAGGATCAAACTCTCGATTTTACAAGCATGGTGCACTTACTCTGGCCTCTGCAATTCTTTTCGCATACGGTCAATTTCGAGCAGCCCGAGGTTGCGTTTGCGCATACTATGCATCTCTTCGATTTCTGGTCGCATCTGAATAGGCCCGCTGTGGGGGACTAGAAGTTGTTGATATTGAAGAACCTGGAAATATAAAAGCGAGAGTTCTGGTACAAACGTACGAATGTTACTGAATGTGAACCTACGTCTCTTGTTGCCCACGTCGGCAGACCTCCGGCTTTATCTTCCAGAAATTCCTCATGGCAAATATCGACATTTTCATTTTTCTGCATGGAAATTCGCAAGTTTTCTCTAATCATCACATGGAAAACTTAATTGAAAAACGTATTAGATGATCTCTTGATAAGGCTGGTTAGTATTTTTCCGAATATTCTTGAGCCAGCATTTGAGTAAAGGTCCTAGTTTAATAGTATTCATGTAGGTATATAATTTCTAATGTATTTTCAAAAAAGGGGACATTGTGGAAGTTATAATCCATTCCCTAGGTATATATATTTAATTGCAAGTGGAATACAGAGTCGGCAGGACGAGGTAGACTATGGTGGCCATTTCTGGCTTACTTGTCAACCTCAGCCATCTATATCTAGATGCGGTTTCGCAGGACCTGGGCTGCTTATGTATTTGTCGGCCTTCATCACACAATGGTGACCGCTATATCACTGACTGCTAGGGATCTAGTTTGGTGTTTATGGCACAAAAGGGAAAGCCGGATCCGTAATTTGACTTGTGAATGCTCTTTAACAACTTGAATTTGGGTTTGCACACAGGCCGGAAACAACCATTAGGCGCTAAGTCTTGAGGCCAAATGACCCGCTGCCACGGCAGAAAACGTCTGGTGTCGTTTACCGGATCGAGTGTACTTGTGGACAAAGCAACTATGTCGTAGAAACTGGGAGATTACTCCATGCGCGAATTGCCGAGTACACAGCGGCAGTGAGGCGGAAAAACGCTAACTCTCAGGTGGCAGCAAACTCGACGGGACCCGGCCATATTTTTAAATTTCAATAGGCCGAAATCCTCGCAAGTGGTGACAACGGCGTGAGATGCCAGCTGCTCGAGTCATAGTTCTCAGTCTCGCAATCGATCAACAAGCACAATGACTTCCCGGTACCGTATTCCGTACTGCGATTTTCCCTGGGCAGGAGAATCACTCACGTGGGGAGGGCGCGGGCGAGCATTTATCACAGTGACAGTAAACCTCGTTGCCGAGCCATCGTCACACCAGCATCTAGCACGGATGACGAAAGCACGCCCATTACCGACTCGGACTCGGAATGACAAACCACCACCGCGTCAATTACGACCCCAGCGGTGATTGCGAGAACCGTTAATTGCAGTCCGCATGCGGTCCCACGGCAGCCACGTGCTATAAATACTGCACTCCTTGTGTCACCATCACCTTTATCTGCAAATGTCTCTGGTGATGGATTCGAATGAGAATCCGAAACGTCAGGTCAATACATTTCTTGTTCATTGATCGCTTCTCCGTATTCTGACTTTAATATATCTGATCGCAACCGACAGGATAACGAGTGAGTGGCTCAGTCAATAGAACTTTGGACATAACAACGGTCGATGATCAGAACAAAACGCAAGTTCGTAGCTGAGGTGCAGACAAACCTAGGCTCATGTAAGGTTGGCCGACGGTGGCCAATAAGCCAGATATACATACACACATGTAATTAAAACGAATTTGACTGTTGCGAAAATTCCCATTGTAAAATTCAAAAGGCAATTTGGCGAGCATACGCTTGCTTTCGATAAATTTTCTTCAGGCCTGTACATTTATATGGCTATTGAAGTAATGGATGCAAAAGATACGGGCAAATAGATAATTAATCTGTAGCTTGGGTTTGGAGAGGGGAGGGTAGAGGAGGGGGAGGATGAAACACCATAATTCCAGTCGGCGCCAGGGAGAAGGTGGGTCCCGCCGAAGGTAATTACATGCGGGTGGCTGGCTTGGTGGCTTTGACCCATGGTAACTGTGGGGATGCACCAAGTGAACTTCTGAGAAAACGCCTAACCCAAGCTGTATAACAGACCTTTCCAGCAGCTGACACCAGTGTACTGTTCTCCACCAGCCCCACTCTATACGGAGAGGTGAAGGACAAACTACCAGCTCAGACCACCTCTATGTGTATCTACTCCTTCACCTGCTCCTGTGGGGCAGAATATATTGGTCGCACGAGCCGGCGTTTATCCAAAAGAATGAAAGAACATCTCCCAGCATGGTTAGGAAAGGGACAAATAAAGAACATCAACAGCTCGATCTTCGCGCACATGGTAGACACAGGCCACCGTGTAGACGCCACAGAGGCCTTCAGAGTGATCTACAAGGTCCCAGCAAGCTATCCAAAACTGCTTGGGCAGCGCTTGTTGGCTACGGCAGAGGCGGCTGCAATTAGGCTACGCCGACCGGTCCTATGCGCGCAGAAGAATTTCGTGCAGGCCCCACAGTTACCATGGGTCAAAGCCACCAAGCCAGCCACCCGCATGTAATTACCTTCGGCGGGACCCACCTTCTCCCTGGCGCCGACTGGAATTATGGTGTTTCACCCTCCCCCTCCTCTCCCCTCCCCTCTCCAAACCCAAGCTACAGATTAATTATCTATTTGCCCGTATCTTTTGCATTCATTACTTCAATAGCCTGAAGAGAATTTATCGAAAGCAAACGTATGCTCGCCAAATTGCCTTTTGAATTTGACTGTTGTTACCCAATTGTTCTTTGAAAATTAAATTCCTGCATGGTTGTGAATACGAAGTAGGAACAAGAACAACAGGCGCTACGTATAACAGCAATTAAATGTTCTGTTCAAAACATGGATGATAGCATGCAGTAGATGCCATTGGCAAAGTGCGTTTGCACCGGGAAAACGCAGTTTTAAACAATTTATAATCCTTTGGCTATTTACGACAAGCCCAGTATACACAATAATCATCACGTATTGTGTGCTATCGTGCTAGTGAGCCACAGACTGCGACACATAAATTGTTGCCATTGTATCAGGGGCCACCGTTTGCATGGAATTATCCGTCGTCATGACGATCGCAAGAAATATTCCTCGTAAGCAGATAGGGGTGCCGATGCACAAATCGACCTTCGTGTAGTCGTGCTATTTCATCCAATGCAGTTTACTTATAACACATGCATGAATTTTTTTTTAATAGATTTTAGCCTCCTCACAGCACTACCTTTACCTGCGGGCAAATTAATGGTTTACTCAAGCAAAGCTAACTTTTAATGAGGAAAATGAATCAATGATTAAGTAAAAACCCTTCAAAAACAGCCCTTGTTTTTCGATTTCGCAGAATGTAGACAAAGTACTGAGCACTGGCTATGGTCCTGAATATCCGTGATACCGATAAGCGAGTGTTTGAGTTTTTATTCACCGGTAGAGTTAATCAGCGACCAAATAACAAAGTTGGCCAAATATCCAACA